CATTGCCTTGCAGCTTGATCGACATGATATTCCATGACTGTCTGTTTGAAATACCAGTAATGAAACATTCAGGATCAGCATGTCTACCACCAAAATGTAAACTCGATCTCTCCCGTAACACTGCAATGACTGTCCAGAACACTTTTCTTATTTAACAGAATTACTTCTACAACAACTCGATCGTGGTAATCAACTAAACAATCAGCGGGACTATTGTCCAAAGGCATCGCAAAAGGCTGTACCAGGTTACGTAGGATTACACCTTAGTATTAGTGCCACTTGCTACATAAATTCAATAGTACAGCAATTTTTCATGAACCCGTGAAAGATGAGAACAAAGATGACAGCCTGTTATATCAGTTGCAAGTGGTTTTTGGGCATCTACAAGAAAGTTCAAAGAAATCATATGAAGCAACGCCTTTCTGTCGTGCATATAATGACTATGATGGACAACCTCTCAATGTTGCCGTACAGATGGATGTTGATGAAGATTATTTGACCGATTGGAGAACAGTGTGACTGGTACACCTCAAGCCGTATTGTTTAAGGAACATTTTGGAGAAACGACAGTGCAGCAGATAAAATCGCGAGAGTGTATGCACGTATCTGAAAAGGGAGGATACCTTTTTTGTTATACAATGCGAAGTCAAGAATAAAAGGAGTGTTGAAGAGAGCTTGCATCTCTATGTTGAAGGAAAGATTTTAGATAGGGGTATGTATCGCTTTTAATTATATTAGTTTTGATAGTGACGAGATAATACTAAAGAGATATTATTAAATAGATAATAAATACTCTTGTACAAAGTGTGGAGTACATGTCGATGCAATTAAGAGGTTTGTTATTATGTTTGCTATATTGTAGTCAAAGTGATTATCAACCAAGCAGGGTTTAATTTCTATTCTCATCCAAATAGGACGTGCTTTAAAAAACTACCAAATCAATTAATAATACATTTAAAACGGTTTGATTTCGATTTTCGAAGCTTCAAAACGCATTAAAATCAACGACTTTTTTGAATTTCCTACTGAAATCAATATGGAACCATTCACTCTTGATTATTTAACGAAGGAATCCGATCAACTGGACGAAATAAACATGGACACGTCTAACAAATCTCAACGCGAATACGAACTTGTCGGTGTATTAGTACACATGGCACCGCAGATTCAGGATATTACTATTCCTTCATCAAAGAACGCAAGCCAGCACCTGGCAATCCGTCAACAGAAAGACGATAGTATCAGTTCAATGATTCTAATATGGAATTGTTTGATGCGAAGGACATTCCTAAACAGTGTTATGGCGGACCAGAACAGATTACCCAATGGGATACCAAT